GCCTCTGGCTCCGCAGGCACCACTTGCGCAGGTCCTCAGCTTTGCGAGAGAACAAACAGTTTGCTTCGGGAAAAAGATGAATACTTGTTTGTTTGTCAAAGCAAACAATTAAATGCTATGTTGCTATGACAAACATGTTGCTACATTGCTATGACAAACATTGTGCTGTCTTGCCATGACAAACATCATGCTGTGTTGTGATGACAAACATGTTGCTATGTTGCTATGACAAACATTGTGCTGGCTTGCCATGACAAACATCATGCTATATTGCGATGACAGACATGTTGCTGTGTTGCTATGACAAACATGTTGCTATACTGCTATGACAAACATGTTGCTATATTGCGATGACAAACATGTTGCTATGTTGCTATGACAAACATGTTGCTATATTGCCATGACTATGACAAACATGTTGCTATCTTGCGTTGACAAACATGTTGCTGTGTTGCTATGACAAACATTTTGCTGTGTTGCTATGACAAACATTTGGCTGTGTTGCTATGACAAACATGTCGCTATGTTGCCATGATGAACATTTTGCTACATTGCTATGACAAACATGTCGCTATGTTGCTATGGCAAGCATTTGCTATATTGCTATGACAAACATTTTGCTGTGTTGCTATGACACACATGTTGCTATGTTGCTATGACAAGCATGTTCTATGTTGCTATGACAAACATCATGCTGTGTTGCTATGACAAACATGTTGGTATATTGCTATGACAAACATGTTGCTATGTTGCGATGACAGGCATGTTGCTGTGTTGCTATGACAAACATGTTGCTATGATGCTATGACATACATTTTGCTATGTTGCTATGACAAACATGTTGCTATATTGCTATGACAAACATTTGCTATGTTGCTATGACACACATGTTGCTAAACCATGTTGCTATAGTGATATGACAAACTTGTTGCTGTGTTGTTGTGACAAGCATGCTGCTATGTTGCCATGACACACATTTTGCTCCATTGCCATGACAAACTTTTTGCTATGTTGTTATGACAAACATTTTGCAATGTTGCTATGTCAAACATGTTGCTATAGTGCTATGACAAACATTTTGCTGTGTTGTTATGACAAACATTTTGCTATTGTGCTATGACAATCATGTTGCTACATTGCTATGACAAACTTTGCTATTGTGCTATCACAAACATGTTGCTATATTGATATAACAAACATGTTGTTATGTTGATATGACAAACATTTTGCTGTGTTGCTATGACAAACATTTTGCTACATTGTTATGCCAAATTTTGCTGTGCTGCTATGACAAACATTTTGCTACGTTGCTATGACAAACATGTTGCTATGTTGCTATGACACACATTTGGCTCTGTTGCTATGACAAACATTTTGCTATGTTGCCATGAGAAACTTTGTACTATGGTGCTATGACAAACATTTTGCTGGGCTGCTATGACAAACATGTTGCTATATTGCTATGGCAAACATGTTGCTATATTGCTAACACACACACACAAACATGTTGCTATGTTGCCATGACAAGCATTTTGCTGTGTTGCTATCACAAACATTTGGCTATGTTGGTATAACAAACATTTTGCTATGTTGCTATGTCAAGCATGTTGCTATAGTGCTATGACAAACTTTTTGCTGTGTTGTTATGACAAACATTTTGCTATTGTGCTATGACAAACTTTTGCTGTGTTGTTATGACAAACGATTTGCTGTGTTGCTATGACAAACATGTTGCTATATTGCTATGACACACATGTTGCTATATGGCTATGACAAACATGTTGCTATATTGCTATGGCAAACACTTTGCTTTGTTGCTATGACACACATGTTGCTACAGGTTGCTATATTGCTCTGACAAACATTTTGCTACATTGCTATGACAAACATGTTGCTATATTGCTATGACAATTGCTATGACAAACATGTTGCTATATTGATATGACAAACATTTTGCCATGTTGCTATGACAAACATTTTGCTATATTGCTAACACGCACACACAAACATGTTGCTATGTTGCCATGACACACATTTTGCTGTGTTGCTATGACAAACATCTTGCTCTGACAAACAGTTTGCTATGGGAACATTTTGCTCTGGGAACAAACAGTTTGCAAAATGGGAGGCCCCCCAAGAACCAGGTTCCGAGTTGTCCTCAAGAAGGGGGTCACCTGCCAACCTGGTGGGTTACACATGGGAACCTGACAGGGGCGGTTTTGGTTTGGAGCATTTCCTCGAGTGCCCGGGGGTTGCTACACACGTTGCTGTTTTCTAAGTTGATCAACTATGGGGGTTGATATGGCATCTTAGTGGGTTTGGCCACCGGTCATCCCATGTAAAAGACCTTTTGATCAACCCTATGTCTGGCTCTGTCTTGTTTTGGCGGTACCCTTTTTGTTGGAGTTTAAACGGAAACTGAAAGGACACCCCCAAATCCATTTTGGAGGGGTCCAACCTAAAAAGACACGGCCATCTGGGTATGACACAAACAAAAAATGAACTTCAATCATCCGACTCACGACACTGACTTTGACCATGCTGCTGAGCGGTTTGAATTTGTGGTCAACTGATCCATTCACCCTCCAAATTGAGCCTCATGACCAACAAGATCAGTCCAGATCTTCATCCGGACTGACTGGAGCAATCTATCCATTTGTTTCTTAAATGGCAATTCAGAAACGAGTTCAATCTGGATGTCCGCTACTGCACCAAACAAATTCAAAGGTTTCTGTCGCACGGAAACCCAAACAACATGAGCGGAGACAGTTTGAGGTCCTGCAGGAACTGGCTTGGTGGGTGATTGCTTGCTTGCTTTCTCCGACCTTGCCCCATGTTCAAACATGAGACCGGAACATCACGTATCAAGTCCCCGGCAAACAAGCTCGGACTGGAAAAGTTTCACACGGCGGGCCATGGGCACAATGCCAATCATTGACCCACCAATTGAACCAATTGCCTATCCTCGCTGAAGCTCTTGACCCTCCGAAAACCCAAGCAAAAAGACGCGCTGACGTGGTCCCTGAAACTCCGCTGAGCCGCTCTTGAACTGTTCAGCATGGCTCACGACCAAGAACTCGCTGGAGAAGCGGGAGAGGCTGTTCAAGAGCTTGCTCAGAATCGGCTCCATCACCTCAGATCTCACGCCAATGCGGCCGATTCCAAGGCCGCTGGATCAGCCAGATCGAGGGTACGTGGAGCTTCAAGTCCGAGTCTCACGCGGGCGATGTCCCAACCACTTAAGGGTAGCTTCCCCATTCTGAACGGGAGCCGTCTTTCCAGAAAACCATCAAAACCCCAGGGGAAGCAGCTGGCGATTGAAAAAAGAACGATGGTTGAAAAGAATGGGAAAGGAATCAACCCCTAGTTGTTTATTTGTCTGGGACCATATTTTGTTGAGGCATAGCACAAAATGACGCCCATTTTTGGGTCTGGAAGGACATCAACTGCGTTTGTGGCACTCCATCTCTGGTCCGTTTCATGTCGTGCCAGGGCACGAGCAAATCAATGAGAAGCAGTGGCTGGAGGAATGGATTGCCCTCTGCAGCCTGGATCTGCTGATCGAGGTGGTTCTGCTCTTTGTCCTGGAAAGGCTCATTCGAAATGGAAATGAATGCGCATGCGATAACCTCACTGGTTGCACAAACATCCACTAGTCGAAACAAACACCATGTATCCCGTGTGACTTGTGGATCGGACCCGATTGGAGACCCATTGGCTCGAACCGAACCGAAGCTCTCTCCTTGATTTCCCCCAACTTCTGCCTCAGCAGCGTGTTCTGGGCTCGCTTCTCCATGTTCCGAGCCTCACTCGGTCGTCGGTCATCGACTCGATCCAAACGGCTCGATCGGTCTGTCTACGCCCGGCTCGAGCGTCTTGTCACATGGTCCCAGCCATCACCCCACTTGAAAGTTGATGGATCGGCCCAAACTCGGAAACCCAGAGCTGCACTTCTCGCCAACCGAGGAGCCCTGATGCCCTTGCGCGCCAACTTGAAGAAGACGAAGGTGAAGAGCAAGGATGCCATGGCACCGCAGGCCAGCGATAGCCCTGTGGCGGCGTCCTGAGAAAAAACACCACACGCGTTCGATGTGTTTTCGCTCATCGATGCTTTAGACCGCATTCAGACGCTTGTCGGATGATACATAGGTCTGTCGGGATTTGGACCCAATCTCCGTGATTTCCTTCGGTTTCTCTTTAAAACGCCCCCAACAGGTGGAGAATAAGAGGCGGCTGATCCCAAGCCCCCCCTTCTCCTGCAGCTGATCCAGCGCATGCACGTCGCGCAGCTTCATCAAGGTGTCGCCGTTCCTATGCTCGAAGGGACTGGCCATGTACGAATCGCAGTCGGGTTGCTTTTGCGGTACCGGACTGCTTTTGCGGTTTTAAGGGACCACCGAAAGGAACACCGTGTCCGACCCGAAAAAGCCACGCATATTAACCCTAATCTTGACCCTATTAGTCAACCCCGGTTTATTAACAGGGGGGGTCACTGGGTTTAGTGGGGAATCAGACCACTTTTGGAGGGGAACACCCTGCTGTTGATAAACTGGGGCTGATTTATACGGGGTCAACATTAGCCTAAACCGAATCCACGGCTCAATGACGGGTCAAAGGATTGCCCCAGGGTCGACTTGCAGGACTCCATGCCAACTGATAGAACCTCTGAAACCTCAACCTTGAGTGATTGCTATCAATGCTATCAAGATCTCAGAATCTATAAGTTTTTCTTCTTTTCTCTTTTTCGCTGTTACGGCGTACGATCCTCAGCAAACAGTTTGGGCAGTTCCACCGCCCAACCGCTCAAGCGCCCCTTTCTCCTGTGGGACACCCGCCTTAGGCTTCCAACCTTCGCATGGATGGGTTCCGCCAGGCCTTCAAAGGCGGCTCCTTGTAGCCTGCTTTTTGGTAGGAACAAAACCAAACGCCCCGCCCGGATGGTCGGCAAGTAAGTAATAGTAGGCATGTATCGGGCCCATTAGCAATCATTCGCTGTCGTCCTTTTGCCTGCCCTTTGAACCACAAAGAGAAGGGTATCGACCAACCTGTCTCAAAATCGGGCCCAACACGTATTTCACCTTCCTTTCGCCTTCCCTGTTAGCCACAAAGAAAAGTCATCTCGGACCAAAAAGAAGAAACAAAAACACCACAAACTCCTTTTGCCTTCCCTTGGAACCACAAAGAGAAATCATCTCGCACGAAAAACAAACCACCCCGAAAATCTTGTGCCGCGCGCCCGGATTCGGCTCGGCTCGGATCGTTTCTCGGCCACGGCTCGCGCCGGTGTAGAACTCCCAGTACTTGGAGGCGTGCGGCTTCACTCCGTGCGCCGGGTCCAGCAGCACCAGCTCCCCTGGCATTCGATCCAATCAGTCCGGCGAAAACGCGAAGGGGAGACAACCGCCCGAAAAGGATCTCTGCAGTCCCAAAGGGCACCCCCTGTCCCAGCGGCAAAGCAAGACAGATTGTTTGCTTCGCTTGTTTGTGAGAAGTGGCATGTCTCTGAGATTGCCTCAGAACCAAGCATGGCGCATGACCGACTGAACTTGGCATTATTTGGCCATGAATTTCAATAGGGAACCACCTGAAATGTGATTGGTGGACATGAATCCTCACCTAAGTGATGTCCACCAAAGGATCCCTGATTAAAATTCATAGCCATTGCTTGGCAAAACGAGGCGCCAACTTCCCCCGCGCATCCGCGCAGCAATTTTCCCAGCCTCGAAGCCTTTGATTGGTCGCCCAACCATCTGAGCGCAGGGATTTCTGCATCTGATCGTACATCCTGAGACGGACATGCCACATGCAACCGGGCAAACCAGCAAACAATCGCAAACTGGAGGCTACATCTACCACGGTTCTCCTGTGGTAAATGGATGGTATATATGGCTCTTCCCTTCTTCCTTCGGTGGTTGGACTTGGAAAGCAGCGAAGCAAACAGGATCTGGCACTCCTTTCGGGCAGTTGGAGCCCTCGCGGAATTCGGCCGCATTTTCTACTTCCTCCAGTAGAGAGGTTAGAATAAGGGTACCCCCTTTTTTCTGTAGTCTATTGTAGTAGGGGAACCCTGCCCCCAAAAAGGGTAAAAGGGCACGACTGGGGGACCCAGTTTTGCATTTCGGCGGAGCCCGAAGTCACGAGCCCAACGTCCAAGCGTCGACGCGAGGCGAAGCCTCAGGTCGGAGCGCTGGAAGTCCTGGGCTTACCCAAAATCACAGCAACTGATTCCTTGGGAGCGACGTTGGAAGGCTTCTCAGACTCGGGCTCCCGCCCGTGTTTGGGAGAGTTGCAAAACGGGTCGCCAAAAAAAAAACCCACCCAGTGGATCCCAGCCCCAACGCCCGGCCGTGACAGGCGGGTTGCTGGGTTCCACTTCCTGTTCGCCGGGAGGGTGACAAAGCACGGTGCTGGCAAGTGCGTCCCTTTCTTTCGTCCAACCATTGGCTTGGCGGACTCAAAGTGACACATGAAACTTGGTCAGGCTGAGACATTGAAGGGGAACTCATTTTCCTAGTGGACAACTGATGCGCCCTGAAACGAGAAAACGACCCCAACAAAAAAACACGGAAAAGGAGGCATTCGCCGAGCGCAAAAGACATGTCCTCGCTGGTGGGATTCTCCGGGATGCCGCTCACCTCGGATCTCATGCCGGCTGCCCTCTCAAATTAGTTCTCCGAATGCCTCTGACAAGAGAGTTCAACTATAAGCTAAGCTTCTGAGCTTGCTTGTCTTGTTTGTAAGAACATGTTTCTACAGTTCCATTTCCGCTTGTTCTGCCCCCCCTTTTGCCACAATATATAAGGACGATGAGAAATACCAAGGCTCCAAGAGGGTTTCTGGAACCTCGCGTGTTTCTTCCGGTGACCCCGACCCCCCTTTCATTTTTTGGTCGCGCCGCGAAGTCCGTGGAGCAGGAGAGGTCCAGATACGCCACCCGAAAGTTCTGGATCTCCGGCTTCAGGATCCCCGCGGACAAAAAGGTGAGGATCCTGGAATCAGTTGCAACCACTCACAGGTTCGTTGGGTTGGCCAACCACACATCCAATCCTTGGGACCATAGGGGGCTCCGACAAAGGACCATAGGTGACAATCATAGCGTTCCTTGCTGGAAGGCGGGTTCTTTTGGTTTCGCTTTTAACACACCAAAAGGGGACCGGCTCAAAAGACACGCCCAAATGATGCCCTTGCGATAGGCAACCAGGAAAGGACCAGGGCAAACCTTGCCCCCATCAAAAGAATGGGCCAAGGGGACCCAACTTGGACAAATAAGAAAGCGGACCACAGGTGACCTTTTGGACGGAGTGGTTTGCCGTTTGCCCAATCCAAACAACCAATTGGGGGTTACCTGAAACCAGGTCCTTGCCTTAGGTGACCGTGAGGACACCATGGCTTAGACCTGGAGAAGAAACCCAAAAAGTCACCTGCTTCCCGTTCCTACAACTGGGTGCTTTCTGGGTTCCATGTAGTGATGTTTAGGGCAGTACCCTTTTGGGGCCACAAAAATGGTTCCCATTAAGTCCTCAAGAAAAGGACGAGCCATATGTTCGACTCCCGATCTCTTGCTTTGGGGTAAAACCGGCCCCATTAATCATTATACCATTCCCACACGTCACCCCTTAAGTGGTGGGTTAAATCGACCCCCCCTCTATATGCTGACGTTGGCCCCCCAAAAACCCGAAAACCACATGATTCCGGATTCCAAAAGATGAGAGAAAACAAACAAACCGCAAACAAAAAAAAGAAGAAAAAAAACGCCAACCGCCCAAGGCGCGAGGGGTCCATGGAGAGGAACACCGGGCGGGTGGCGTAGACCCAGCGCGTGGCCGGGATCCCGGGCACCGCCACGGTGTCGATGACCACTACCCCGTGCTCCGTGGACTGACGACATCCGGAACATCACCGGTGGATACCGCGGGTCAAGCACTCCATGTAGGGAATATTTACCCACATCTCTCCAGATGTGCCAGTTCCATCGGCGTGACCTACTTGGAGTATGTTGGTATTACACCCGATGGAGTCGAAAACCAAGGGTCCAGCAGAAAGATGGGGTTGGCTCTCAGGATTATATTTTCGACAAATAACCACTTGTGTGGTCCAAAACAAGCATCGGTCCCGGAAAAAAGGAAACTTGTCCATTGGGTGTGCTCTGTGAGTGTCATAAACCTCAAACTGAAAGCAAAGACCTCTACGGGAGTTCTGCAAAACACAAGGTATCAGCTACCATTCATTCAAGGTATCAGCTACTCCATCGATAAAGGGTCTCATTTCAGGTATCAGCTACCTATACATATCAGCTATACAATCTATATGACAGGATCTATTGCACAGCTAAAGCAATTAATAGGACTGAAATGTTATTCTGCGGATAGACAAATTTAGGCCAGCTTCGGCCACTCGCGCCATCAGTAATTTGTTTCGGCTCCAGGCCGCAAAACATTCCCTGCCTCTGGGTTGCCGAAGCGAGGCCCCACGGTCCGCATAAGTCTCCTGCGCGAGGAGAAGCCCCATGCGTGGCCCCCCATGCGTGGCCCCCCATGCGTGGCCCCCCATGCGTGGCCCCATGTGCGACACCCCTCTTTCCACTGGACGTGGACGTTTTGTGGGAATTCCAACGATGCAAAATCCAAGATCCAGAATCCAAACTCCTCCTTGCGTGTCTTCCTCCAAAATCCTGTCAGCTTAGGCCGTAGGGAAAGCCATCTGCCACTTCGAATGGCCAGCGGAAGCCTCCACAGGATCATCGTGACAGCCACCCCAAGGTTAGATCCCCGTACGCTGAGTTAAGTCGTGTCAAAGGGAAAAATCGCTACAGGAGCTCATCCTCTGGATTCACGGGCCCGACGGGCCCGAGGGGCCTGACATCGGAAACCGCTGCTCCTGGCATCCGGCAAATGCATGCGGATCCCCGGCAGTCGATCCGCGGGGGCCCAGGTGCCGCTCGCCGCCGACGCCCCAGCCACGCTGAAGTGCACCTCAAGCCGGGGAAGTTTTTCACGGGGAAGCCCACGGGAAGTCCGCCTGGATCGCCAGCGGCGGGGAACCTTTTTTTTTTCTCCATGCACCCAAAGCCCAATTTGTTTGGCTGTTTCCCATGCACTCAAAACCCCCAAGAACCGATCGTAGGCACTTACATTTGCCTAGGAGCTTCCTGGGAAATATGGCCATGGGTCAAAATCCCGTACCCCCGTGATCATCCCAATCCAACCACTAAAATAGTGAGAATAAGACCACCAATCAACAGGTTTTCCGACATGGGTGGAATCTTGCACCCCCAAAATGGCCAAATGGTTTCTTGCTGGTTTCCCTTTGCCACCCCAACAGGATCTTGGTGTCCTTTTGGTTTCCTGGGTGTTTCCTGTTGGTGTTCCTTCGGATTGGTGGTGTTTGGACTCCCCCTTCTCGCGGTTAAATGGGAAACTGGATTGGATGGTCCAAACCCCAAGAAGTGACTCAAGTCCAGGACTCAAGTCAACGGGAAGCCACACAAGTCAACCGGGAAATCCGAGGATCGGCGGAAAAATCCGAGGATCACGGGCTCCTTTCAAGACCCAAAAAAGTAAAAATCGCCTGAACTTGGCGGTTGCTTCCTCTTGTGCCAAACTTATGTCCCAACACGTCGGGCCACTTGGGACCTCAGATGAGCTCTTGAATCTTTGAGTTCATGTCGCGGAGGTTTTCTCGGGGGTAACCTCTTCGGCTAGCGTGTCAAGAACCATCAACTCGTTACAGGTGGGTGTTTAAAAGGGAACCCAGAAAACACAACTCATTTTGGAGGATCCCAATTGGAGACTAAAGAAACAAACCCAGGACCCATGAACTGAATTTCGGCTAGGCGCCATGCCAGCCTCGCTTTGCACAGTGAACCTTGGCTCGGGCCATCAGTTCACCGCTTCAGAACGTGAGTTTGTCTAACAGGGCAACACATCAAATTGGCAGTGCCGTTTCAACCCAAACAACACTCTGGAAAAAACAACACACCCCAATTCAGTCATTCAATTTGATCGCTGTAGCTTAGCTTTCAACGGAAAGCAACATGCCACCACCTTGGAGGGCTCAACACGACACCCTCACACTCATCACAGCTACTGACAACGCTGGTCGTTTATTGCTTGTGCCTGGCTTCTTGACCACAAGCACAAGCGAATGGGTACTTGTATGTTACGAATAGTTCTTGGCGCAGCCCAAGCTAACGTGAGTGAAGCTATCTCTCTAGAGCAACTTGTCTGGCTTTGTCTCAAAATGGGAATCGGAACTGACAAATTGGCACATCGGTGGTTTTCCTCTTGGTTTCCCTGTGAAACCACCAACAAAGGGGCAGCTACTCACTTCCCAGGAAGACGCGCCAGCCGCTCAGTCGAATGGTGAACCTTGGGGAAATCCACCTTTGCCCGAGGAAACCGGAGAGAAACCCCCATTCATTTCCCCAAGTGTTCGTCTCATCTTGCCAAGTGGGATCAATCCATTTCCCCCATCTTCGACCCCGGGGGAGATGGATTGATCCATCTCCCCCTGTTCGATGATCAATCCATCTCCCCCAGGTTCGGTGCTCAAGCCCAACAACAAGCTCAAGCCCCAGGCAAAAACAAAAAATCGGGCCGCCTGGACGAACGAGATCGGTATGCTCAGATGCCCAGTGGATTTCCATGGACAAAGAAAGGCACCCCCCTTCTTTTTCTGGTTGGTCGACTTTAAAGGGGAACCGTGTTAACCCCCAAAAGAAGGAATGACAAAGAGGTCATTACCACTGGGCAAACGAGATCGGCTTGCATCCCGGCCGCTTCTGAAAGCTGCCCGTCTCGCCCACACGGTCCGTGAACGCCTCGCTGACCGCGGGGCCCAAGCCGTCGTTGTTCTTCCCCATGAGAAGCAGGCGGTCCGCGTAGGCGGGCGCCTGAGCTCTGGGATTGCCTCTCTCAAGGTGGGGAAAAGACGGGTTCCCTCACTTCCTGAGTGGATTGGCCAAGAAAAGCCTTTTGTTTGCACTAAGATGGTCATACCAAAAAGTGACTAAAGTCCAGGAACTCTGGAAGTGGGTTCAATGCCACGAAACTGTCGTGCACAATTTGCTGAGCTCCTTGAAATGTCTCGTGCATAGGGGTGAGTCATTTTTAGGGGACCTCCCAAAATGGCTTCGGTTTTCCAGTTGGTTTCCTTTAAACCCAGCAAGAAAAGGGTTGCCCCAAAAACGAGCCATAGCTCGATTGCCCGAATTATACCCGTTGGCCGGAGGGAAACGCCAACTGTAGGGGTCCGGGTCATTGCCGTGGATTGCATCCCCGTGAATGTTGGGGGTGGGGTTGGATAAATTGAAAGGGTCATATGTCTTCCATAAATCCAACAGGTGCCACCCAGGCAGACTCGCCTGCTTCACCCCTAAAGAAGCAGCCCCGCAGAAAGAATGAATTTCCTAAGTGCAAAATGTATTTCGGTTTTCCTTTTGGTTTCCCCGTAAAACCCTCAAAGCCTCAGAAAACAGAGGGAGCCAGGGCCCGTCCGTGCATCGAACGCATTCCGTCCGCGCCTTGACTTGGCCCTGCAGAGTGCAGAGGTTGTTCAGGCACTCGTTGCTCAACACCTCTGCCACCACCGTGTCCAGCATCGACCCAGAAGAGCTGCCCAAACCTCGGCAAAGCGCGCTCGGAAGGCGCTCCGGAGGCAAAAGGGGAAGCGGTTGAACCCCGCTTGGTTTCGGATGGGCCTCAAAACCAGTTCAACCAACTGGCATGGATGGTTGGGAGCTGGCGAAACATTCGTGGTGTTGGTTGAGCAAAGCTGGTTTCAATGACCTGATTCTGAGGCCAGCCACCTGAATGGGCACGAAAAAGTAGGTGAGTCCTAGATTCTGCGGCTTTCCCCTGTCTAATGACACGCAAGCAACAACTGAAGCCCCTCCAATGAGCATAGTTCATTCTCTCGCATTCTTCACATGAAGCCACCCCAAAAAACACCCATTTTGTAGGAACAGCGTCTCCGCTTTGGGGCCCCCCTTTTGGGTTCCATATGGGTCGGGTGCCCTTTTTTCCTGGTTTACAGGGAAACCAAGAGGAACACAGCGACCTCCATGTTAGCTTTTTTGGGGGCGGGTCCAAATCCTGAACAAATGAACCATCCATATGTCCATATGTGCCATGGTCAAACTCTTTCTATGGCCAATAATCATGGCTCTTTAAGTAGGAATCATTCTGGTTAATCCTACCAGGTCTTCCACTTGCTGTCCGTCCCTTGGACAAATGCTAAAATATGAGCAGTGGTGACATGCATTCCCTTTAAATCCAACAGCAAAAACAGAAACAAAAAGTATTTACGTCAAATGACACCTGGTTGCTTCTGGTTTGGCCTACCAGGTTCAGGATCCTACCAGGATGCCCATCCCAACGTTAACCCCAAGTACCCCCACCATAAAGGGGGGTGGGGGGTCCCTGATTTCCATTGATCTAGTCTCAAAGGGAACATGGCTCACCACTTTCTTGAGATCTCCAGAGGTCCCCCCCCAATTCCATCTTTGAGGGCGCTCCCTTTAAAAGCCACTGTGCTTAGGCAAATGACTGTGGGTCAAAAATAGGGTTACCCACAAATGGAACCCTGGTAAATGGAACCAAGGACTGAAACCGGTCCATATCCTGGTGGTTAAATCTTGACCCATACCCAAATGATCCTTACATTGTACGCCTGAACATTGCCTTGAAAAATGGTGGTTCCCCTTTGTTCTGGTGGAAAACACAACATGTTTCAAATGGTTGCAACATGGAGATCTTTTAAGGAGCCCTGTTGGAGTCTGCGCCAAAGTAACGCAGTAACCAAAAGCGCCCGTACCTATCTACATGTAGGACTGCTTACAACCCTTCATCTAGCTGGGTGCTTCATTGCTCACGTGACCCACACCCAATGGAACCCGTATGGAAAACCCGGATCCATGTACAGAACCTATGGAAGAAGCCAGATGTTTCAAATGGTTTGCAAAATGTATGTATCTTTTAAGGAGCCCATACCCAACTGGAATACAACATCCCACCGACTTCCTGCGGTGTCAGCGGCGCAGTTGCAGGGCCGTGGCCTTGGTGGGCAGCGTGGCCAGCACCGTGATGTCCAGCCACTCAGGACGCAGGTCCTATCGCCGTGAGCCGAGAGGTCGGTTGAATCAAAGTTGGGGACCCCTTTTCCTCATCAGTTGGGTGGTTGACTCAACTGTTGGTTTCCCCATCCAGGTAGGTGGTTGGGGCATTCCTCTTTTTTTTTTGTGAAACCATCCAAACAGGCGCCCCCCCATGTTGACCCCCCCCCCCATTAAAGCTGCAGAAGCCAAATAGACCCCACCGGCCCCACCGGCCAGCGTCTGAAATTTTAACCCCCACAAAGTCAAAAGAATGATTCCAAACCCCATCACCTGCTTGACCGCCTGACATCCATCTTATCCTTTGAATCGGGGAAGGATTGTGATTGGGGAGCTGGAGGTGTCCTCGACCGGGTCTACCCCCAGGTCGACCTGAGACTGTTCTCAGAGGAATCTGATGAGGCGCTTCCACACGATGGACATTTGCAGAATGCATCGCCGGAAAATGATCCGTTTGAATTGAAGGCTGGCTCAAAATGATGGCAGCTTGAATGGCACAAGTCCAAGCGTTGCCATCTTCAACCTTCCGTGTAGACTCAAATGACGCGTTTTCGGAAGGAGATTGCGTATTGGCGTTGTGCCAACAAACCCAGACTCTACGCAGAAGAGCTGTCTTCTGTTCTTTGGTGCAAACAATGTCTTCTGCATGTTTGACTCGAAACAGACTGGGATGAAGCAATTGTCGAAGTTGGATATCTAGCCACTTACCACCATTTGTTTATCCAAGAATAATCATTCACAAAAGCAACAACTGAAGCAACTCATCCAACCCTTTCGTGTTCCCATGCTCCTTGTCCATGCCAAAGGTGTAATTGTCCGGTACCTCCCAGCGCACCGAAGCTGCCCTCTCTGCAATCAAAGCGGACCAATCGCGGACCAAACCCGAGTGGTAAAAGACTCACTTCCCGAGTGGATTGGGAAGAGTAAAGTGCAAACTTTGCGTTTAAGACTTTCTCCCCAAGTCTTCCCACAAAAGCTTAAAGTCCAAGAACTTGGGGAGTGAGAAGAGGAAGCTACATCGCCTTGCCATGCTCTCGCGGCATTCCCGGGCTCGGCCAGAGCGCCGGGAAGCAAACGAAGTACTTAAAGCCATGGTTCCAGGGAGCCCTTGCATTGGTTGCTTAAACTCCCGAAGGGGTCCATGAGACAAAAGGACATACGTTTCAATCATTCCTCCAACAAGTGAGCTCCAAGACAAGAAACAAACGATGGCAAACGCCTCAAGCGCAAGCTCTCCTCTCGACTGGTCCCAAAGGTCATGCTTGCAAGCCCACACCAAACCATCTAGGATCTTGAAGTCGTGTCACCTTCCAAACTGTCAGAGCCATCCAGGTGAGCTTCTTGTGACATGGTGGCCTAAACAATACACACATGGGGTTACTTAGGTTTTAGTCCTGCCATATACCATGGCAAGACTTTATGAGCAGCCACTTGGGATATGGATCCATTCACCTCGCCAGGGTGCGAGTGGCAAATCGCAGGCGATGGTATTGCAGCTCTGCACGTCCGTAGCGGAGGACAAGCCTACGGACGTGGCGAACTCGAGTGCGATAGCTAGGGAATGACGAGGCCGGGTGTTGGGAATGAACAAAATCCGGGGATTCTCGAAAAATGGAAAACCAAATCGGATGGATGATTTATGGGGTTCACTCCAACTCATTCCCTGCCTACCGACCAGCAAGAAGCGCCTTTGGAATTTGACTCACAGGGCTGAGCTGCGAGCTCCCGATCATACAGTTTGTTGCCGATGTGGTGAGCTCTCTGTGCAACACTTTTGCAGCCCCAAACTCCCTGTTGCCCCACAAGCGGCCCACTGCGCATTTGCCGACCCTGCCTGGGCATAGGTACCTGGGTTGCAGCTTACACAGCAAACGGGAGACCCATCATGCGGCCCAGCGGGCAAGCCGTCAAGCAGAACGCATCCGGACGCATCTGCCAAGCTCAAACCGGTTTTCTGCAAAAAAAGTTACGGGGAACAAACAAATAATAATAAAAACAACAACAACTGCAGGAATCCTATGTGACCGCAGAAAAGAAACAGACTCGAACTCTGCTGTGCCAAGTCGCGTGGGATACTTCAAGCCATCTGAGCCCAAGCAGACCCGGTCCCGGATCTGCTGGCCGCCACCGCAGACCTTGTCACAACCTCCAGCGAATGGCGGGGCCTTGTGGCAGAAACCTAAGCTCCTTGGTGTGTCTTACCAACAATAAGGGACCCTCCCGAAAAAATGATGGATGGGTGTTCCTTTTGCTTTTCCCCCCCTAAATTTCCGTTAAAAAAGAAAAACACCACGATTCCGTGGTTTGCCCCCTTGGGCCAGACTTGATCGAACGGCATAGCCCAAGAGCGCACGGGCGAAGCCCTGAGGTTCGGCTTTCTGAGCGTTTGGACACCTCACAATTTGAGTCACGAACCTGTCATTGACTAGAAATGAGTCACTTGCTCAAAACCCTTTGTGTTAAAATGGTCGTAATCCCAGAACCATGCAACAAAAATAAGAAGCCGGAATTCCGCAACTATTTCTGGCTGGGACTGCCCCTTACTAACCTTCATCTACCCGGGTTTTGATTGTGGCTCAAATGTTTGTAGCGGCCCTTTTTCATTGGTTGACAAGCCCTGGTTACCCCATGAAAAGACTGGCTTCGGTGACCCAGTGATTCCATTTACCTGCAGAGACAACCATGAGAGGATTTCCCCAAATCAAAAGTTGATCAATTTACACCAGAGGGGGGCGGGAGTCCATTGAAACGATCGCCACTGTTCGAGGTTCCAAACAAGGAAATGGCTCGGAAACATTCGAAGATTTGTACCCCTCAACCAAAAGAGGGGCACCGCCCAAGTAGAAAGACATCAACAAGACACAACCACCAGGAAAAAAAACGAAAACCGGGCATTCACCTTCCTGGTTCCCCTGAAACCAAAAACGCCCCGTGGGGCGTGCGCTGAGACCCCGGGCTGCTCCAGTTGCCCGTGACCTCGGAGAAGGTCACCTGAGAACTTTCCGGCGAGAGGGGCTCGGCTTCTTGGAAGCCGTGTGCGAGCCAAGACGTGGATGGCTTGGTATCTGGGGCTTAGCTCCTTTTGCTGGGTGGGGTGGGGTGGGGTGGGCTGGAGTGGGTTGGGTTGGGTTTGGTGGTTGGTCTGGTTGGGTTGGTTGGGTTGGTTGGGTTGGTTGGGTTGGTATCTTTGGCTTCCCTTCTGCTCTTTACATCTGAGGTGTTCCCTCCTCCCTTGTAAAACACTTATGCGAGCTTCCCAAGTTGCTAGGTACACTCGTACGGCTGTTATAAAGTGCTGGAAACAGGGGCTACTTACGTCGATAGAGGGATAAATGCCTGCCAAGCGACTGATGGGTGCGGTGCACAGGTAGAGGTGCCATCGCAGTAGCCAGTCCTGTCACAAACTCCCTCATCAAAGGCATTGCGAACTTCCGGTTGGGTGTTTCCGAAAGGGGACTTGTCCGTAAAAAAGTGTTTGTGCCAATGACAGTAAGATCATTAACCCCTTCCAATTTCCTGAGGACTAAAACTTGAGTGGGCCCTGTGCCATCCCTTGCGGTAAGAGCCACTTTGTCTTCTCTGGTCGAATGATGCACAAAGGGAGCTGGGCGGTAGGTCTGGAGCAATCGTCCAGGTAGGAAAAGGATCGGGGTTGGCGCATATTAGTGGGGAGTGGGGAACCAGGCAAAACGGGTGGAAGCTTCCTTCAAAATCAAGGGGAAATGTGACATGTGCCCCTCGCCAATAACCGAGCCCTGCGCTCCTCCTCTTATGCCAACTGCTGGGCACCCCTCACCTCACCTTCCCCCCTCCCCACGCCACCCACACCCCCTCCCCCCCCTCCGTCCCCCCCCGTCCTGCAGTCGGAGTGGCGCACGCAGGCCGCGAAGCTCGGGGGGCTCGGCGCCGTGGCCTCCCCGGCCCAGGGCACCAGCTCCGGCCAGCCCTCCACCGCCCGGGACCGGTCTCAGCCGAAGCGCGACGCTCGACGCGCGCGGCTCGAGGCGCCCGGCGGCGAGCTCGGCTCACCCCGCGGTCAGATCGCGGACCACTTTTGGCGGGTGGGATTTTTCAGTTTCTTTTTTTCACAGAGACACCGGGACACCCACCAACACCTACGAAAGCTGAACTGAACACCGGAGGGGAACTTCACCAAGCATGGGGCTTCCCTTTGAGCTCCTTTTTCATCTGGGCGAAAACGGGGTGGATTGGGCATGGGAACCGATCACCCTCCACATTTTAGGGGACGTTCCCTACGATTTTTCTTCAAACATCACCCCAAAGGAAACTCAACGGTTTGTTCTTAAAGCCCCAAGGGGAAAATATAGGTCCACCTTTTCAGGGTTGGTTAATTTCGGGAAATTCAAAGCAAATTCAAGAGACACCCAAGGGAAACCACACCAGGAAAACCACCTAAATCCAAAAGAAACCACCGGAAAAACCACATGCAAAGCACCTGTTTGAGGGAAACCAAACACCACCTGTTTGCCGGGAATTCCCCTGCGGTTTTTTGCGCCCGGCACCGGCGGGCAAGGCACCCACCGGCGCCATGAGCTTGGCTTCGCGGAAGCAGAAGGGCACCATGCCCGACCAGCCTCAGCAATCCGCGTCAAAGAGCGACGTGTCTGGCGGAATGCGCTTTCTTTTGTTGGTCCTTGAAGATGGGGTCCCCCATGTTTTTCATTCTGCGCTTTGTGAGGTTGTTGTTGACATTGTTTGTTTGTTGGGCTTTGAAGATGGGGCCCCTGTAGGCTTTTTGCTCGTTTGTCAGTTTTTGTTGAAGATGCTTTTCGCTTTTGATGGGATCCGTGTCTGGCGATACCCATGCCCAAATTGGTGGCCGTGCTGGGAATTTATGTCCGTTCCAACCCGTCAGATGGCCATGCAACAGGATTCGTTTGGGTGGCTCGTTTTTAAGGTTGGACCCCTCCAAAGTGGTGTTTTCCGTGTTTTTCCCTCTCTTTTTTTTGGTTCCCTGGCCCCAGCCAAAAATGGGGTACCACCAAAAAACGCAGACCGCCCCCTTTGGCACCTGGGCTCACTAAGAGCGTTCTCTTCGCTAGGTCCTCCCTCGCTCCTTGAAGTGAGACATGCCATGACGTGCTCAGTTTAGCTCAAACAGGCAAGAAGTTGCACCATATGGGAGAGCACCAACCCCAAAACAAGACTCTTCCGAGCCCAGGATGTTTTAGGCCAGAGGCAGTCCCCACTCACCCCACCCCACCCACCTCACCTCACCCCAGACACCACCCCCACCCCAAACACCACCCCCCCAAACCCGCCCCAACCCTCCCCCCCCCCATTGCTTGCTTCCCCGGGGCCCAGCGTCTTCAGCTTGTCGAAGACCGTGTTCGCGGACAAGATCTCCGCGCGGTTCCCGAAGCCAGCGCCACCCTGAGCCATCGGTGCCCATGAGCCCGGTGACCTTCTGCGCGTTGGTTTCCCCCAACCGCACACATCCAAACCGGTGGCCCTAAGGAACTCCATGCACGGGCCGTCACATTGTCGCGCCTGCCTGGAAATACCCTCGGCTTGATACTGTACTTGGGGGTTGTCTGGGGCTAGCTGAATCGGAGCATGTTGGAGAGAGAGCTCGTGGCCTCTTGGATGAAACAAACATCACTGGGTTTGCTGGCAAGTGGGGCAAAAAAGCCAAGCTAAACCAGTGGAACCCATCCACTTCACTGCCCAAGCGAATCAAACCGCCTCTGAGCCGAACTCGAAGACGGAGTAGAGGTTGCCGTCGCACCAGGACGCGTGAGGGCAGGAGCCTCATGCGATTTCTTTCGTGGTAGCTGGGAGGCAAGCTGCGTTTGGCACGTGCGAGGGTCCACACGGTCAACGTGCACCCTTTCTGATTATCTTATTTTGTTGGACCCAATCCCACCACTAAAATAGGTTCTAAAATGGGTGGTGCACCTACACCAGAAATGGGATCCCATTGGTTTTGACAACCACAGCCAGGGTGCCGCCGCAGCAGTAGGGCATCTTCACCAGAGCATTCCCAAACTCCGTGCGGTCAAGGAAGAAGTCTTTGCCTCGAAGGACATGCGCCCAACCGCAACTCTCGGAAAGGCAAATGACCGCATTCTCCGAGCGGCTCGTGTCATAGAAGCTCTGGAAGTTGCTCTTGTAGTACATGGAGTCGCACAAGGCAAATGCGCCGTTCCTGAGTTGAACGATGTGACTCTGTCGAATTTTAAACGAAAACATCGCCATGACATGCTGCCATGACATGCCAAGTGTCTCATCTGGGAGGACCAGCTCATTCGGCTCAGCAACAAAGCATGCCTGGCAAGCAACACTGGATTCCTTTGAGACACACCCATCTCAGCCCTCGTTGATTCGGCGGTCCTGATTGTTGGGTTGCCGCCAATTCAGCAGAATTGGACCGCCATGTTGGACTCCTCTCATTGTCACGCTGCCGTCTGACCTCACTTGCACAAAAAGGCGCCGAAGGCAGACCTTTCGCCTCGAAAAGGGACGGGTTGCAAGCAGAGTGGCGCGACAAAATGCCCGGAATGCTCGCTAGATGTGTAAGAATCTCGGGCTTCGCGGCTTCCAGAAGCCAAGCAGCTATCAGGGTGTGTCACATGCAGACGACCAGCCACAAACCAATGACCACCATGAAGGTGGACTGTCTGACACTATGCACTCAGCTGCAACAAGCAAAGTGAAGATGCTGGGGTAGTGAGCGCTCAAAGCCACGCGAATGCTTCATCGAGTTCGGCCTACCCGCATGGCAAGTGGCAAGAGGCCACGCCGGCATTGACAGCCAGGCTTTTTGTTTCAACTCGACTTTGGGTTGTCTTAAAAGTACATGTCTGCCGATCCGAAGCTTCTACCAGCACGCCGAGCGGCCGCACGTCAGCCGTGGAGAGATGCTTGG